CCAAGCCGGCCTGCTGACATATGTTTACGCCCAGCCACCCAACAGCCAACTACTGCTGCTCGACTGTCCCATTTTCGACCCGTAACTGTGGCGCACATCACCACACTGCTCAAAGCAACAAACACAAGTAAGTCACCTGGCTCTGACAACGTCTTACCAGCCGTACTGAAGCATGGTCGTGATTCCATAGCAGTTTCTCTCACTGATATTATCAATAAATCTCTGAGCACAGGGTGCGTACCAGATATTTTCAAGAATGCCACAGTCAGCCCAGTTTTCAAATCAGGCGATGCAGAAAGCTCTACTAATTACAGACCAGTCTCATTATTGCCCATATGCAGCAAGATATTAGAACGAGTTGTCTTGGAGCAGCTGATTGCATTCTTTAAGTTACACAACATCATGTACGTGCCTGACAATCAATTTGCCTACCGTACCAACAGCTCGTGTGAGGACTGCCTAGCGCTAGTGGTCGACGAATGGCTCCAAGCCCTTGATAACAACGAGTACTGCGGCATAGTGTTTGCAGATATGAGCAAAGCTTTTGACCGAGTTAAGCATCAAGAGCTCATTGACGAGTTGAAGATGCTTGGCATTGCTGACACTGCACTTGCTTGGTTTGCAAGCTACCTGACCAGACGCGTCCAGCGAGTAAGAGTAGGACAACAGCTAAGTGGGGCCCGCCCTTGCACAAGAGGCGTCCCACAAGGCTCCGTGCTCGGCCCATTGCTATTTTGCATTTACACCCGTGACGCACCACAGTGCTTCCAACATGCATTAAATCAACTTTATGCCGATGATATCACACTCTATATCAGGCACAAGTCCATCCAGATCATCACAACCCAGCTGAGTGCTGACCTTGCCGCTCTGGACCACTACCTAGATCAGAAGGGATTGGTGTTAAACCCGTCCAAGACTCAGTTTGTCCTGCTCAGGCGACCGAGCACGGAGCTGCCACCTGGCACCGCAGTCAACTGCCGGGGCACTTCCATAGTCCCATCTGCTTACGCTCGGTACTTAGGAATACTGGTTGACGAACATCTGTCTTTCTCAACCCAAGTGGATGCAGTATGTGCAAATGTCAATAGGAAGGTTGGAGCATTTGTCCACGCAAAGCAGAATATCAGCATTTTTGGCAAACGACTTTTCTATTTATCGATCATTCAGTCCACATTTGAGTTTGGCAGCACTGCATATATTCATTGCGTATCACAAGCCCTATATGACAAGCTTCTTACTGCCAGCCGCGTAGCATTAAAGAGAATATTTTCGTTGGATAGAATGACTCCCACCACTCTTCTATACAGTCATACTAACTTGTACGCCCTTGAGAAACGCCTCAACTTCAAAACCTATGTATTTGTTTACCGCTGCCTGAATGGACTTGCTAGTCCTCTTCTGCGAGACCGCTTTACCTTGCGCGCCCATGGTGCTCGCACTGCAGCCACCACCCGTGGCCAAGTCTCTGCTGCTCTTGTTCTGCCCCCCGCTAACACCCGATATGGCTTTAGTGCAATTTCTTATTTGGGCGCTGCCAGGTGGAATACACTTCCACCGGCTTGCCGCATGTCTAGTTCACCAGCTGAATTTCGCTCATCCATCAAATTATACCTAGGGTTCCCTGTAAAAAGGCGCTGACGCCTGTTGGGAATTCCCTAGTAAAAGAAGAATAAATATTATAAATAATAATATAAATAATAACACGCGGATCTTCCTGCTCCAAGTCATTGCAACTCTCGTCTTCGTCGTTGTGAGTTGGACGGAGCTGGCGCTTCTCTGCAGTGGCTTGTTACAGAGGTTGGCGCGGAAAACCTACCCAGAGCTAGGTCTCGTAACGGCCGGAATGATTTTGCAATTTGGGTGGAACATGCTTCAGAACATACTACCAAATGTATGTGGTCAAGCTAAGTCTATTTCTGAGTTCTTCACAAGCAGCGAGTCATTCGAAGGATAATGCGATAATGCGACGCTGTAATCTTGATGACCTAGGCAAAAAGGATAGGGATGTCAATTTTTCCATTTTCCAATTTTATTTAAAGACATAAACTGGGATTCAAACCAGGAAGCCCTACACATAAATGTGAAGGTCTCCCTGATTCAAACCCGCACTATCGCCCTACATGCATCCCCCCCCCCCCTACACTTCGCATACCCACACATTCTTTCAAGTTCCTTCACGGTATGACGTTGGAGTTGAAAGCCCTAGGCCATATTTGCTTCAGGCTTTGTTCTTCTCCTTTTCCATACCCACACATTCTTTCAAGTTCCTTCACGGTATGACGTTGGAGTTGAAAGCCCTAGGCCATATTTGCTTCAGGCTTTGTTCTTCTCCTTTTCCTTTTGACTTTTTACTCTTTTCCTTGTTATTATGATTATTATTTCTTTTACATCGAAAGCTCAACAGTGCAGCTGCACAAATATGAAGAGGCCGATGGGACCAAAAATAAAAAAATAAATATAAAAAAATAAGCAATGTATATACATCGGTGTAAATGTTTAGAAAAAAAGGGGGATGAGTGGTGAACGTAAAGAGAAAAGAAGAAAAACGTATGCTGAATGAACCTGGGCAATATATACATGTACACTGTAACTGGTGAGAGACTAAACGTTGCCAACGTTGTCAAACAAAATTGCACGATATCGTTCAAACCAAACTAGATCATCCATTAAGCGCTTAAAACCACGATCGAACTGAGAGGTAAACAAAGAGGATTTCAAGTCGTTAGGTAGAGCATTAAAAAACAGAGCAGCACGAAGCACAAAGGATCTTGACCGAGTGTTGTTCTGCATTTTAAATAAGGGATACCATGTGTGTCGCGACTACGCGTGCTCCGGGTAGATTGCGGGGGGCTGTTAGCCGCGGTTGGCTACAAAAACCCTGCAATATCCACGTAAGGTGGTCATTGCCTACCCCAGCCATGTATTGTTTGGAGTAAAATAAATTCATAAATTTGATCAACGTTGTGAGCCTTCTTTGATGGCACGGTAGTGGGGACATGTGAGATAGCGTCAGGTATTACAGCTGTGTGGACCATGGCTAGCGCCAGACGATTTCCCGTTCACAAAAATAGTTAATCAGAGATCAAATCGCGATTCCCGTACGAGATCATTGTGTTGTCTATGATTTCGATTCACAAATTCGGAATCCAGTGATATGATAAATAAAATACCAACGGATTTGCACTGCCGGTAGAGCCACTCTGCACTCCTGGTGAATACCATAGTTGCGAACATGTTTCAGAAGTGTAATCTCCACAACGAGATAATCCGACATGCCAGAATGATTTCATTCATTGGAATAAATGGGCTGACGGGCGAAGAAAAGGAAGCAAAAGTAATATTTCAGAGATGATGAACTGTTTGAGCGCGATGACAGCTGGAATGATGGGAAAATAATGGCTCAGTGATTAGAGCATCGCTGCCTGCAAACGAATGTCCCTGGATCGAGTCCTGGTAGTGGAAAAATAACAGCTGCAAAAATATAAATTAATAATAAAATACAAAGGAGCGAATTATAAAGCAAATGTTGGCGAATGTAACAAGAATAAGCAGTCAAAGTGCGATAATAGGGTACAAACCTGACAAGCTCCTTATACATTCAACGACCTGAGACCCAACTCTAAAACATCTCCAGTGCGCAAACCAATAGCGTTCTAGCCTGGAAGGTTAATGGTTAGGTAGGACAGAAGAGGAGAAGGTGAGCGGAGCAATAATGTGCGCTAGATAAGTTCCACGCCAAAGGAGGAAGCCGACTATTAAAGCCTTGCCTTGAAATCGATTGATCCATAGGGTTCAGTGGAGTTCCTACAGATGCGGAAGACTGTGTCTCCAGCCGAGTCCAGGTGAGTGCGAACAGTGAAATCTGTTTTTATAAATTATTAGGAATGGACTTGGTAGTCGTAGAGCATAAGTACCGTTGGTTAGTGTCGTGCAATGGTATCGCATAGGCTGATTGTTTAGTAACCCAAGGTCGGAAGCGCATCCCAGACCACGCCACCACTCCCCTTATTCATGGCTCAAAAAAAACTGATGGTGTTAGTTGACAATATAGCGTAACTCGTAGTTCCTTGGTCCTTTTTTACTTTCTATAGATAAATTCCGACTCAAATATTGTACACACATAATTTACTCCAACAAAACGTTATCTTTAGCAGCTAGCTGTGCCGGGCCGTGGTTATTCACCCGCACAGAGAATAATGTAAAGACAAAGAGGAGCATCGCATTATGGTATAACTGCCTAGATATTGGATCTTGGTAATTCTTACACCATTTACTTGAGCAGCGGACCATCTGTTTCATGCATACCATATAAGCACGACTACGGACGCCATTCGTTTCTGAGACGGTGATACTGGTACTGGACTTAGCTGGAGTTTTTTATTGTTATTTTTGTATTTTCAAGTACAGTTCTGCTCAACAAAATCCGTTCCGGTGAGTCACGTTTGCGTCCTACTAGTACAGTATACCAGTTTGCACACCAGTCATATACGGATGTCTAGTGCTGCAAGGTGTCGGGCGTCCCACTTATTCGCTTGATCGGATTTCGTTCCGCAGCGAAACAGCTGCTGCCCTCCCCCTCCCTGGACCCTTCTTCATTCCCACCATTTAGCAAAAATATACTCCAGAACCATTGAAGAAAACTCTCACATACCGTATGTAGACTACAACTAGCTGGGAAACTACAACATACACAAGGTGCATTCGGCACTCATACTATTTTCAGTTGAACAGCAACAGCACTTTAGACCTTTCTAGTGGGATAACGCCGCACGTCACGACCATCTTGGAGTTTTATTACTCGTACTGGATGATTTCAAACCACAAGTTCTCTGCTCCTGTTACGCTAGATTGTGAGATTGTCATTATTCTTTCTTGGTACACGCACGCTCGGGCGCCCACACATGGCTGCCAGGAGTTGCTTTCCTTGCGTGTCGCCGGATAGGCGTCGGCCAAAGGCTTTCAAGAGTGTCTCCTCGCCGCTAGTATATATTGCACAGATGAACAGGTATGTTGGAGCCGGGGCATATGGAACAGTCATAAAAGCTGTAACCCAAGGGACGAATCACCCTGTGTCCATCAAGACTTCATTCTGGACCAGAGACCCGGCTGGCGTACCGCACGAGTACGATATCCTGAAGCACATTGGACGCCATCCAAATATCATCCAGCTGATCGATTTAGTCGTTGAAATAACCAGCTACTCCGATGCAACTCATCTGGTGCTAAATAGATGCCACACAACTTTGCGAAATTGGTTGACGACGTCCGTAGCGCCTATCTCAGCAAACATTCGCACGGAGATCACTAGGCAGCTTTACTCTGGTGTGGCGTTTCTGCACAGCAGAGGAGTGAACCATTGTGATCTCCACGACGCTAATGTACTCGTGAGCGGTTACAGCGGCCAAGTCAATATCATTGACTTCGGACTGTCGAAATTCTCCGATGGTCACTATGATCTTGTGGACAGGCTTCGTGACGTGAGAAACATCACCATGCAGGCAATCGTTTCCATGTGGCTGGACGGTGTGAATGTGTATCGCGTGGCAGTGTTCTCCTGCAGATCCGCCATGCTGCGGCGGGGAATGAGCTTTGCACATATCGGGTTGGCACAACACTGGCTGACTTTCCGCTCTGGGGAGATCTACCGCAACGTCCACGAGCGATCAAGACGGGACTACCAAACGGAAATGAGCAGCAAACCTGGTTTAGAAGACACCATTACGCGTATGCACGCTTTCAACTTAACACATCGACTCCAAAATCGAGGTGTTGCTGTTCCAGAGTCGCTCCATGAACTTCTACGCTACGGCATGCTAGTTGGACCCGATGACAAAACAAATGCTGGCTATATATCGGAGCGAATAGACAGTATTGTCTTGGACGATTTCCGAAAGAAGGCGCAAAGGGAGATCTGCAGAATCACAACAGATATGTACTCTACGACTGTATGAACGCAGTGACATTGCAAATCCTTTCCCGCTGATATATAGGCTATCAATAGCAGATGATGAATAGGATTAATTGCGTTTGTAACTGTTTTAAGGCTTGCTATTTGGCTTTAGATTAGTTATTTGTTTTGATAGACTTGCTGCTGGATCATCCGATGTTCAAGTTTTGTTCGTTTGAGGTGAAGCTTCTCCGTCTCAGGTCTTATTTGAATTATCCTGTAAATTGTTCCCATATCGTTTCTACTTGTAAAATTCACAGCCACCACTACAGAACTTGGCCGTGGCCGCGCGACTTTTTTTTCTTTTCAGCATTTTCTCACACAGTACATGGGTATTGTGGGTGCACGTCCGGTTTGTCCTCAGATATATGACCATTTAGGACAGGCTGGAGAGTTTCGGCATGCGTCTCAGCACTCTATCGGGTTGTCTCCTGGCACGTGGAGAAATGTCTGCCGCATAGCAAATACTCCGTCTACTTGTGCATGCCTCACACCCAATCGAACGAAAACGAAGCAAAAGTAGATGCACGGTTTCCGGACTCGATACACGGATTGCCTTGAGATTTTCTCCGGGTCATTTGAAGATACGTACCTATAAGAAACTCAATCGATCTACTCTATCCGAAAGCGAGGACTATGTTGGGAAGGGCAGATGCTTTGAGTAAAATTCCCACGCGACGCACAGGAGGCAAGAGAGCTCGATAGACAAGGAAAATGAAACGAAGTGACCTGTGTTTGGCATGTACCCGCAACTGAGTACTTACCCAAGCTAGAAATCGGGACTCCACTTCAAACCAGGGTGAACGAAGCCCGGTTGGAGGAAAGCCCTTGAGGTCCCCATCCAGATGCCCATCCACATTCCTTGGACCAAACCACCCAAATCAAGAATATTAGAGCTTTTCGTTAGGCCATTGTAGATGGGCCAAAGTCGAGCAGCCGTGCGCGTGGCGGCCTTATTTTTGTGTTTTCATGAACTGCTTGACTGTGTTTACATGAGGCGTTTCAACCCGGGTTGAGTTTGACCCGGGTGAGATTTCAACCCGCCACGTACACAAAATGAATGGCGCCTTTACATGACGCATTACGCTTGACCCGGGTTGAAACCCCCCCCCCCCCCACCTCCAAAGGGGAGGGTTGAAATCAACCCGGGTCAAGACAATCGTACAAACATACTTCTGTGCGTATTTCGCGCCAGGTTTGAACAGGATTGCATATGAAAATTTCGCGCGAACGGATTCACGTGATCATACAGGACTGTAGAAGTGGACTTTTGGCGGCATATCAGTATTTGACCCGGGTCAACTGTCTTCATGTAAACGCTCACCTATTTTGTCTATCGTACAGACTTTCAACCCGGGCTGAACTCGACCCTGGTTGAAATTTCTCATGGAAACGCAGCCTAATTGTTAATTGAGTCACAGCAATATTATACGGTGTAATTTTTGTGAATGTTCTCGACCTTAGCAGTTTTGTAGAGCGGACAATCGGACAGTGTATGTGGAAAGTGTGTATGGTAGAAACTACGTAGCAGCTACCATAATTCAGGTGGGTTGAATTTCTCATTTTGCTATAATTAGTTATGGAGTTCGGGGAATCTTTTGACTTGATCTTCTCCAGAGTCTGATATTCAACCTTTTTTTGAATGGGAGATTTTGCGATCCGTAAATGCCTCACAGATCCGCGGTTTCATTCTTTCCGTTAATTTTACTACAATGGCCAGTCCTTGGTGTTTTGGACGCTTCTTCAGAAGGAGACGGGGTGCTAAGGTGTTCCAGAGCGCCGAAGGCACTGCTCAGTACACCGAGCTCCCCGCTGCTTCCATTGGCGATGGTTCGCAAGGCCAGGTCAGGCAAGCTATCAGACGTGGCACAAACATGGCAGTCGCCATCAAGTCGTCATTCAAGCGGCGAGATCCCAAAGGAGTCACGCATGAGATTGATATTCTCAGGGAACTAGGAAATCACCAGAATGTGATCGAGATTCTGGACATGGTAGTGGATGTCGACGACTGCTTGGCAACTCCGCACATGGTTATGAAGAAATGCCACAGAGATTTGTGGACTTGGCTGCAGGAGTCCGTTCAGCCAATCTCCGCATCCGTGCGAGCAGAAATCACCAGGCAACTGTTTTCCGGTCTGGCTTTTCTGCACGAGCGGGGAGTAGTTCACTGCGACCTTCACCAGAAAAATGTCCTTGTGCACGGACACAGCGGCCAAATAAAGATCACCGACTTTGGCTCGTCACGACGCTCCTCGGATGAAGATACCCGTGAGCACGTGACCGTTTACAAGCGGCGCGATATTAGGTCAATGACTCAGTATGTAGTGATTTCGATGTGGCTGGATGGCATGGACAAGTATCGCACACAAGTGTACATCAGCAGGCTGCACTTTTTGTATCGGGGCGTCGATACGGTCCTTGTGGGGAAGGCCCAATACTGGATGGTGATTCAACCCAATGAAATTTACCGCAAGCTCGCCTTGGTGAACAACGGCGGGTTGGAACGGTTTGATGACTCCATGAATGATCATCCGGGGCTTCTGACAGTTATCAATGATATACATTCTCGGGCACTGACAACCCAGATTAAAAATCGCGGATTGTCAGTACCAGATACCCTACACGAGCCACTCCGCTATGGCTGTCTTGTCGGGCCGGCCACAAAACTCACAGCAAGCTACATATCCGAAATGCTTGACCGAGCGGTTAGCCAAGGTGATCGGGAGGTGGCGCAGCAAGACATTCGTCTCATTACAATAGATATGGTCTCAACAGATGTCTGATTCCACGTTTAACATCCCTGCATCGTCCATCCAATACTCCACTATAATAATCATTGCTGAAAATAGAGCGATCGGTCTGCATAGGCATTCTCGGGAGATTGAAGATTGCTGAGTGGTGGAACGATTGTCATTTTGACTTTGAGGTTGGCATCTTGACGTTTGTGAGTGGTAGCTCGTCGTGAGGCAGGTGTGGGTTATGATACGATCCTTTGGTATCTCTTGTGAAGCAAAAATGGAAATGTAAGTAACGATTAGTTATAATATAAGTAACCTACGTGGAGATAATAATTTTAATAGAGCTATGAATAGGATGAAGGCCGCAGACATCACGCAACTACGTTACTTGTTTGACATGTATTACTGTGTATTTTATAACAAAAATATTATTGAAAACCCAGAATCGATTTTCTCGTTCCTGATGATAAGAACGAGAAAATCGATTCTGGGATTTCAATAATATTTTTGTTATAAAATACACAGTAATACATGTCAAACAAGTAACGTAGTTGCGTGATGTCTGCAGCCTTCATCCTATTCATAGCTCTATAATATAAGTAGTTGGATTTTGTAGGTACTATGCAAACGGTGAGAGCATTCATGCATATCGGACAGCTAATGAAGAGGGCCTCGGGTCTGTGTGTAGGATGCTTCGGCAACGTATGCCGAATCCATTTGTGTCGACGCTTGCATCTGCTTCCGCATAATGTGAATGAAAGTAAATCTGCTCCGTTTTCTAAGGAGAGCTTGCCTATACATGTGTTGGAGACAGATGGAACAGGTGATTGAACGGGTAAAATTTACATGAAGAACGTCATGCTCATAGCGCTCATCTCAGCAACCTTCATCACTGAGGGGAAGTGAAGGCGATAGGATGTTAATGATAATTAAAATAATAATAATTGTGATGAATGATGGATGGCTAGAAGGTGAGTATGCAGGTGCAAGTCTGCCTTGTTTTCCAAAACACTTCATTCCCACATAGAAGGAGACACACAATTCCTCACGTATCGCCGAGATCGCACCAACATCTTCATCACACTGTTGTCCCAGTGTGGATTTGCGAATGTGTTGGTTTGGAGGTAAAAACGTCGCGAATGGCCTACAATATACGGTCTCCTCAGCCTTTGTGCAGCACCTCCATAAACGACACTCACTTACGCTGCTATCTTATCTTCGGGAAGTGTTTGTTGCGCTGGAAACGGAGCATCTCTGCATGTTTGTATTCCTGGTGATTGGTCGGTCTGGAGAGCACCGTACAAATTATAAGTGATTTTCTGCAAGGACAATCTTCCTCAGCCTACTAAAACTCAACTGATGAAGGGTGAATTCACCGAAACACTGTGTATTAAGCAAGGATTTGCCGAGTGGAAGATTGGATGAACTTCTAGTGTACTCTGGATGGCACACATGAGTGAGTCAAATGGCCCAGGGAATCAAGTCGGCAGGAAAAGCGCGATCACTCACGTAGGGAGCGACAATTCTACAAATACAAAGCTAAGACAAAGGACAATTTTAGTTACAGGTTTTTTAGAGGCTTTTGGAGTGGTCATCGCCTATCCGTTTGTGTGGAGCGGTTACGTTGTTTTCAAGATTTCAAGCCTCTTTGGAATCGTTGCCAAGCAACCTGCCTACACCCAAGAGAGCACTGCATTTCACACGAATCCATTAGGGGTATCGTTTCGACGTTTCGGTCTTCATGAACATTATCAGGAATGAAGTGGACATGGAAAAACAACAGTATAAAAGAAGGAAGCAAAGCACGGTACCTAGTGACAGCGCGCGTAGAGAAGTGCAAAGCACGTCGTGGCGGGTGCATTGCTACATATACATGACAACACAAGCACAAACGTTGTTGCGTTGCTGTTTGTTGAGTGTATGCAGGTTGCCTGCCAACGATTCAAGTATAACGAAGCTGCGTGAAGCGTCCTTCAACATTTTGAAAAGCCTCTTGTACGGACAAAATTAACGCAATGGATTAAAATACAATACAACATACACTACACACTGGAGAAGAAATCAGGAATGTGCGGGTGTAAAATAAAGATTTTCAAACGCAAACCCAAAAAAGGCAATGTTATCGTATGATTTGAAACTCGGGTATTGAGCCAATAATAAAAGTAGAAAGGAAAAGGACATGTGGAAACGAGTTAAGAGTAACTCTCCACCACTGTAACTAGATACTAAACACTCAGAAAGTGCACCAACTAGGCAGAGAGTTGCTCTTAACTCGTTTCCATATGTCCTTTCCCTTTCTACTGTTATCGTATGAGTTGATTGTTAGGAAACTGGTGGTGTTAATGGACATTGCACCGTAACCTTTGGGTATTTGGTCCTTTTTCTTTCTTACAAAAAATGGCTACGGTTTCATTTTACGGGATAGACCAATTGAGTGTAAAAAGTTGTATTTCACATGCATGTACACGTGTTAGCAGCGGGCAGTCGTAAGATACGATTCCCTGATCAGCAGGACGAAAAAACCATGCAGTATCCCGCGTATGGACTTCAATATGCTTATTTCCTCTATCAGCCGTACAAAAACGTTTCCCGGATGTTGAGCCAATAATGAATGTACACTTTCTGACTGTATATACCTTGTATCTAGTTACAGTGGTGGACAGTTACTCTTAACTCATATCCATAATTATGTCCTTTTCCTTTAAAAACGTTTCCACGAGTTTGAACGATGAGAGCTGCCAGCTCAGGTCTTTCCCTATGTGTCTTTAACTACTCCATCGATCATACCTGTTCCACGGACAAAATGAAAACGTTTCAGAGTTAAGAAAGGACCAAGGCAATCACACTATAAAGTTCATTAATTAATGCCAACACTTACTTGAAAATCAGCTCATGCAATACCCTTGGGAGAATGAAGTCGTACTTATGGTTGATAAATATGGTGGTAAAGACACACCTGGCAATATGCCTAGAGAGCGTGTGTGGGCAGGCGTGTGTTTACCGCCATATTGCCAGGTGTGTCTTTACCACCATATTTATCAACCATGCAATACCCTTGCCCGACATTGACCTACAACTAAGTGGGTATCAGCTCGTGCAATTGTTATCGCATCACCTCATGGTCAAGTACCTAGTGGTATTAATGGGCCATAGGGTACTTCGTGGTCCCTTGGTCCTTTTCTTTACTCTACCATTAATCATTGGATCTCCATGCGAGATGGAAATGTCGTCGTCTAATGAAAGTAAAATAACGTTGTAGGTTCTACTGCACCTGCACGCAGAGAGCGTATGTGTGCGTGTGTAGGCAGTTGCCTATGAAGGGAATTCAGCTAACATTTTCCTCTATTTTCTAGAGGGCAGGGTGCGCTTCGCGTACGTGGTGTTCAATGCAATCTGAAAAAGTGAGTAACCGTTGCATACTGAGCTAGTTCACTTCTCAGTACTCCTTGGTCTGTGGTTTTCTCACCGCCCCGCGCGTTATTGGCTCAAGCGATTGGATTGGTGCTAACAACATGAAGATTGAAAATTAGAGCAACATTTCAACAAAATAAGGGAAGACACACATTTCGTAAATTTAAGCGAATTCTCAACAAAACAAAATTTATTTGTGTGGTCTTAATGGTCAACTACAATTCAGTACCAAGTGAGGTGTTATCATACAAAAAAAACATCAAAACCCATTTACAATGGGCGCTGCAGCCGATCATCAAACGGTTGTTGACCTCATTGCCACAGATAACATTCGAATTAACTCCTTTGCCTGCTGCTCGCCGCACCGACTTACCACTGCATTTAACTGCCTGATCATCCAGCGGGCATTGAACTGATGGTTTGGACCAACTAAACAACCAACTAAAAAAATGCTATGCAGATGTGTGGGGACTGGTACGCCATGGGAGGCTTTTGGGTGCGAGAGCACCCATGAGTGCATGCCTTGGATCAAATCTCCTAGGTCTGGTGCTCCAGATATTTCGTTCGTCCAACCCTCAGACGTATCCACGTGCCTGACTATCTTCGTAGATGAGATGAGGATTGGTCGTTCGCTAAGATAGTGCTCGGCCAAAGCGACATATCCCACGAACCAGCCCTGTGCAAGGAAGTGCCGCTTGCTGTCCTTCAGTATGGCTCCATACGCTGCGCTGCCCAGCAGCCATAACGGAAAAGTGCAAGAGAGTGTCATTGCTAGCAGGTCACGTCGTTGTTTCAGCACGCGGTCTTCAGATGTCAATCTTGCGCCTGTGTACTGATGAGCCTTGCCGAAATCTGTGATCTTCAGCAGTCCAGAATATCCGTCAACGAGTACGTTTTTCCAGTGAAGATCGCCATGTACAATTCCTGCATTGTGCAGGAAATCAAGTCCCACATAGAGTTGTCTGCTCATCTCCTCTCGTACTGGTATCGATTCTGGGATGTCCGCAGAATTCTGCAAGATCCATTTCTTTAGGCTGGCGTCGCATTTCATAAGTACGAGTACCGTCGATCTACGCCCGTCCTCATTTTTCTTGTACGCCACATCGATAAGTTTGATGATGTTACAATGGCCCCCGAGCCGACGGATTTTCTTCATCACTTCTAACTCACGCTGTATACTGGCAGCGTCTGTGCAGTAGACACTGGGCATCTTCAAAGCCACGGAGTCGTTCGTCCCAACTGTGAGTCCATGTATCACAACGCCGAAGCTGCCCTCGCCTAGGTAGGCATTGTCGTACTCCCGATACTTTGCTTTGCTCTCCACACTGTTGTATACCATATTTGGCTGCGGCGGTGGCAAAATTGGGCACTCTAGGCTGTCCTTCCTCTTTCTGCTTATGAGGCATCTTATACAGCTACATGGCGTTCTTGGCATCGTGACTCTCGCGAAAATATTGTGAAAATAAAGGGAAATGCAGCCACTTCTTTGGTGTGAAAATGAAAATGCAAGCGCACGTTCATCCGCGAGCAGAGGATTTCACTTGGACACTCTACTGGTCTGTGATGACCTCGTATTGCAGCACAGATTGTCCCTCTAGATAAGGATTGCCCTCCTAGGTACGTGTCGCATTTCC